GGTTGCATCTCCTGAAAAGAGTCGTCCTGGTGAGTACAATGTACATGTACTAATATTATAATATTTTTATCTTTTTAAAACATTCTTTTGCTTTACAATGCATATGCCTAATCTGAGCATTTTATCCTTTAAGTCTCATGTCCAACAATATCTGCGATGTTGGAGGGTGCTATGGACAACAGCATCCACTTCGTAGATGACCTGTCTACCTTGCTAGACCTAGACGTACAATATAAAAACCCCCGTAACTGGCAAGGACTGGCCCAGGCGTTCCTCGGTCTATCTTACAATAAGATCATGGAAATCAGGTGCGCTGTTATTATCCATTATACTAGTATACGCATAATTGTTCAATTGTTCATGACCATAAGCGTATAATCATTTCTCTTTTTTTTAATTTCAGACACAAAACAAAAGATCATTTTAAGGAAGGCATCTTGCCCTTACTGAGTTCGTATGGATATACAGTGTATGACGTGACAAATTACTTCTCTCTTCTGCCGTCACGTCGAGTTGACGTTATCGAATGTATTCAGCGTTATCATCCAAATTGTCAAAAATATGGAGAAATCTCAATAGTCTTAAATCTAATAATTTAATGGACGCATCATAATTTGAGTATTTTTGAAGGTAAAAAGTCATAAATTCCAATTTAGTACTACCAGTAATTTAAAATACAGCAGTTTGTTAAAAAATGAATTGAGAAAAAAATCACTGGTTGGACTTATACTCGGCACTTGATGCTACAGACGGAGCTTTTAATTTGTGACACCTTCTGCGATACGAGACCTCGGTTTATACGGTCTCATCCAAAGGACCAGTATACATGTCCCGCAGTGGGATTCGCACCCGCGACGTGAGGATTAAACGCCTTACTCTGCAACTCTAGAGTTCAGGATCTGACCACTGCCCTCGTGGGTGACAGACAGGATACTAGTATTTGTTAATATTATTAAATCGGACGATTTTTAGTATCAGGATACATGCCGACATTCCCATATCGAGTAACGGGTTATTCGGACATTTTTTTTGTTACATAACACCTGATCAAATAAAAACACACTTGCCCAAGGTATACATTTAATGTAGTACCAGTAGTATAAGAGCGTTTTTGCAATTTGGCAATTGTTTTAATATACACTGAAAAAGTCCGTGTGAAACGGGGAGTGTATATATTTAAAATATAAAGACACATCTTCAAAATATACACCACAGTGTTTTCTATCCGAGCTAGTGAGTACTGTAACATTTTACTAAACCAATCGCATCACCTCGGGTCTTTCCGTCAGAGGTCGGAAAAACAACCTCGAATGTATTAACATCACCGGATGTTAAAAAATTATACATCTTCCTGTTTATTCAATATAGTGTAGACGGAGATAGAAGTTCTTTCTATGGTATATTGAAGGTAATATCATTACATTGAATAAAGTTAAACTTCATATTCCACAGATAAAAGGTCTCCATGCATTTCTTTCAAAGATCGTGAAAAAGGAGGGTTGTCATGGCGTCTACCATATACATTCGAGGTCGTTTTTCCGCTAGTCGGAAAGGCCCGAGAAGTTGCGATTGTTACTAAACAAGACTCACATCGTTCGACTGTTCATTAACCGGGTACTTTTTTTTTTCGAATGGTAATCACTTTTTACATAGACTAGTATATAAATCTATTTATAGAATTTAAAAAAAAATGAATTGTCACAAAAACTTAAGAAAAAATAAAGGTCGAATCAATCCTGTTTTTCTGTTTTATTTTGTTGTTCTGCTTCCGGTTACAATTTTTATTTACAAACTCAAAAATACATGCCTCATTTTGTTGTTTTATGAACAAAATGTTATTTGGCGACTCAAATCTTTTCCTTGACATTTGTTAAACATAGATCATATACCTCACCCATCATGAAAAGGGATTGGTTTTAGTTTAGTATTACGCAAAACTCTTCAAATAAAATATATATAGACAGACAAAAATATTTTGATGACAAAACTGAAAATCATAAAGGATGTCAAAAAAGTTTCACAGTATGAATCACACAATAAAAAATTGTTTTAATAGCATAGACATACATTACATATATTATGGACAATTACTCAGAAAGTTTACCGGAAACTATTCAAAAATCCTCAAACTACATGTATTATGACTGTGCAATGGAAAGCACCGCGACCGTTCGATGTCCTTCAATAGTTTATGAATTATATAACTTAGAATCCGTCTTTAAGAATAGAGTCGCCATACAAGTAAATAAAGGAACAATCACGACCAGCATTAACCATTCATATGATGCCATTATTTGGAAGAAATTTTCCGAATATCAGATCTAGAATTCAGTCGTATTTTATGAAAATTAGAGGTCCCTCGTACACTTTGAATTCTTTGAAAAACATTGTTTTGGCCATACTTCCCTAAAACATACTTTGTGGTGAATTAGCATCCGTGTAAAATTGTATTTTCCATTCACTTTAAAAAATGAACTCGGGGAAAGTATATAAAAGCACCAAATGACCTACAATATTTTTTAACCTACATAATTTAGTTTTGTAGTGGAATTCCACAGTGACCCTGTTACACCTTTAGAATTACGTAATACTAAAGTGAGAAGGGATGCTGAGAATTCAGTTTAAATGAGGAAAGATTCTGAGTTTTTAAAATAGATTATTTGAAACGAAGTATACTCGAATTCCTTATCTAGTATAGTAACTAGTATTTATTAAACATCAGTTTCTCTCTAGTTGTAATCAATCTTATGGGTTTTTTTTATCTTTAGAAGCTTTATGTTGTACAACATATGTTGTTAAGCTTCTGAAGGTAGAATGAAGGCCTAAAGCCTTTACTGAGGGTTTGAAAGAATTGAGTATTTCATTCAGACCACTCAGACTTTTTATTGGCTATATATACGATAGTTGATTCGAAAAGTTCGTGGACGATGTCGATCTTCGTTATTTTACTCACTAAAAAATTAAAATAAGCACAATATAATGTGTAAAAATATGTTTTATTGATGTGTGAAGTTTCATTCTATTTTATTAAAGAGAAATTAATTTACTTGATTTAAAATCAACATGTTTTGTATCCGCGGAGCGCACTTAACAACAATGTAACGTTAAGAATTTCTTTTTAAAAAAATAATATCACTATACATACATTTCGCACAATATAATCCAGTGCCTACTCATTAAATCCTTTTTCTAATACTTGCTATTTATTTTTTAAGAATTGCTCTCTTTGTTAATTTTCTTTGTTTGGGTTTTAATTTATTTTATAACTTAATTCTGCTTTCACAGGATAAGCAACTCTGAAGCGCCTATGTCTTTTCTTGACGTTCCAACTTTTAAGTTTTGTTCACCGTTTCTTCACAGATTGTCCTCATCCGATACAGACTCTCTGTCACTCAAATACTGCCTGTGCTATTTGTACACACATGCACAACTCGCTTGTGACATATTTTTTTTTAATTTTTATTCTTCCAACATTTTATTAGTTTATTCAGGATTTTTCCTGAGTAAAACACAAAATTGCATTGTTATCTGCTGCTCCGTGACGTTCTAAAACGTCATTAGAGTCGTTTTCGATGAGGACTATCTTCTCAAGTTGTTTTTCAACAAGGCCAAATATTAAGCCATAATTTGGAATACGAATCGATGTAACAATTCTTGATTAGAATTTCTAGATTGTTTTTCGTTTTTGCTACATTTTACAGAGATTATGACTTCAGACATTATTTAGTGCATTGTTTGAAACTTACTAAATTTTGACCTGGTCCGCGATCCGACTTTTGCATTTTTAAAATCTGCATAAGTTTTGAATAAATCGTGAAATTAAAAAAAATTAATACAAATCATTTGATTTTTTGTTAGAATATTTCTACCAAATTTGGATAACATGTGAAGTCATATAAAAAAGATATGATAGAAGTCTACGAACTGAACAACCCTCGTATATTTAGTGCCTCAACTTTTTCATGATCGGAAAATGCAAATGTATTACTGAGTATTTTTACTTTCATAAAGATAATAAATGGGGGAGGAGGTTTTGTCTAATTTCCGTACTCCGTGAACTCTGTTGAACAACTGTTGAATATACTTCCCGAAAACATGGCAACAAAGAAGCAAAGTTTATCTTATTTCGTGTAATTTGAATGAGGCTGGAGAAAAAATAAGACATTAAATGACGTAAAAGATTTTTTTTACTCCTACAACTTTAACGAGGCGGAATTCTCAACCCGAAATCTGGATATTGCTTGGCCTAAATAGAAATACGTCATGTATACGTAACACGAAAGGATTCCTTTTGAATGCGGAAAGATTGGAAAATTTCAAGGAATAGTTTGGTAAATCTCAACATACTCTAGTATTCCCCATTGTTCATTAGTAACTAGCACTAAGAGAAGTGTTAAAATATCTTTCTGGTTTCAATAAATCATCCGTAATCGGTTCTTTGCTACACAGCTGCAATTTCCGGTAAGAGGAAAACCGCTTAGTATTTTGTTTTGAGTGCACACAAACGTTGAATTGAGACATTGACTGAGAGTATCGAGGAAGAGCTTTCCAAATTGTGTTGTATTAAATTGTGACCAGCATATCTTTGGGTTTACTACAATACATTTGAAGAGGAAACTCCATTATCATGCAAACAATTCCACTTTTGCCGGTGCTTTCTTCACAGTTCTAATGGTGATCTTTAAAAATGGATTTATTAAACATAGAATAACAAGAACAATATATTGGTGCCTGTAAATGGTCAACTCAATGACAACATATGACAATATGGTAAGGAAATTACGTTCTTACCACTATAAACAGTCATTTAAACATTTTACCAATTGCTTATCATCTCATAGTGCCACATGCTGTTACGTTGTCTAAATTACCAATCGCTTAATTAAAATCCAACATTATCAAAATTAAAATGTGTTATTTTTATTTTCTTTCTCTAATTGCTTATAATCACATATTGTGATTCACATATTGATACAATGTGATAATTTTTTTTGTTATTATCTATTTTTAGATTTCGAGTGTTATCGTAGGAATTTTTAAATGACTAAACATGCTCAGATGACGCCTAATGTTTATATCTGCTTGCTTGTTTCTGTGTTTTTTCGAGAGGGGCTGCCGAGGAGGGAGCTCGAGATGGTAGGGTGGCTTTTTAAAACAAAGATGAATAATAATAAATATAAAACAATCAGTAAAATATAATAAATGCAGCATGTAGTTGAAGATATAAATAAACAATTTCACCTCTCAAAAACATTTGTCAGCCGAGGCTGAGACATTTTCTTGGGCTAGAAATTTTAATGTTACCCTCAGTTACATGCAGTATTTCATATTAAGTAACAGAGATGAAGGGACTGGCTAAGAGTAAATAATTTACATCTCATGATTTAGAGAAAACAAGCTTATATACATGCATTCAAATTCATTTTCAATTAACAATGAAACTGTCATGTTAACATTTCTTTTCAAGGGAACACTTCCT